GTGTGTGTTTGTGTGTGTGTGTCTGACAATCTACTTCCTCAATTATTTCAAAACAGCTTAAATTATCGCCCCACAAACGTCTGGATGCTTTCGGCACACAGAAGTGTGTTTGTGTAAACATGTGTTCCTTATATTTGCATCACACAGCCCCTGAACACACTTCTGGCTGTCTCCGCAGGGAAGGCGCCATTGTTTCCCCATTATATTGCCTTGTGTGTGTGTGCGTGTGTGTGTGTGTGTGTGTGTGTGTGTGTGTGTGTGTGTGTGTGTGTGTGTGTGTGTGTGTGTGTGTGTGTGTGTGTGTGTGTGTGTGTCTGGTCGCAGTTATACTGCCACATCAGCTGAGAGCCATTTTCACAGCTCCTGTTGCTGAGAGCTCGTAAAGCCTCCAGCAGCCTCTGCTACACACACACACACAAACACTCACAGTTTTACCTATTTCTCACTGCAGGGTACTGAGCTGATGCCATATAAGAGCTCAAACGCTATTTCATGCAATACACACCTTTCATACACACACACACACACACTTGTTTACTTAGCTATTAGTAATGACAAACCCTAACCCTACCCACTCTAAAGAACACTTTTCCACAGGGATGCCTCTACATGTAATTTGTAAGTTAAGTTCGGATGATAAACACTTTTATTCAGTAAGAATAACACGTTAATTTGATCAAAAGTCACAGTAAAACATTTATAATTTAAAAAAAAAAAAAATTAAATGCTTTTCCCCCCTTTCTATTGATCAAAGAATCCTGAAAAAAAGTGCATCACGGTTTCCATAAAAATATTATGCAGCACAATTGATTACAATTTCGATAATAAGAAATGTTTCTTTGAGCAGCAAATCATCATATTAGAGTGATTTCTGAAGGATCATGTGACACTGAACACTGGAGTAATGATGCTGAAAATTCAGCTTTGATAACAGGAATAAATTGCATTTTAAAATGTATTAAATTGTAATATTTCATAATTAAATAATAAATCATTTAAATTTTTACTATAACAGCAGACTCTACAAAAAAAGCAGACTCTCTCTTCCTTCTTAGACCACGGTGATTCTGCACACACACACAGTTGAGCATTTAAACTCCCGGAATAAAACCAAATTTCCCTTGACCGAAAGAGGTGAATCCAGTCAGGAAGCTTAAATGGATCAACTCAGTTTAGCCAATGAACACGGATTCACACCTCTAATCCATTCGCAAGCAGGACAAAAAAAAAAGTTTCTATGTTTGTTTTTACATTGACATTTATTTAGCAGAAGCGACTTACAAATTAGGACTTTCTGAACGCAACGTGTCAGTGACCATATTGAGATCGAGTCTATCCTGATATCTTCTCCCAAAGACCCGAAATTTCCCTCATATGCCTCGTCTTAAACCTGCGATCAGCTAACTGGCGCTTCTATCCAAGCCTAATTAGCCTACGCTAAATTAATTATTAAAAATCCAGTGGGGGTAACATATTTCTTTGAGAGCGAGTGCTGATACAAAAGGCCCATCACATGTACAAACACACACACACACACACACACAGACCCTGTGACATTCATGATAACACAACAAATCCTTACAGTCACCCACAATCGTTCGTCTGAATTCATTATCGGAAAACCCCCCACAGGTTTGAGCAGGATCTGAATCTCTGAAACGCAATTACCGACACGCACCGTGATTGAACACAGAAACCTTCTGAACCGTCACTAACCATTTGGGATCCAATAACCCGACCAGCGCCTCAACATGGCCGATTGCAAGAGTTACACGGCCCTCACTGACCGCCCCGGAGCATCAGTCAGAGATGTGTTTGCTCATCCAGAGAGCGCCGGGAACCAAGGACACACAAACACACTTTGTCTTTCTTGTGTGTAAACAATGTATCAGGAGGTGCAAGTCAGAAGGTGAAGGACACGCGTCCCAGACAAGCTGGCTCACCGAGAAACACCATTAGTCTTTACTAAAAAAACAACAACTTCTACTTCAGAAACCATTTTCCATCTACGCACACTTAATTAAATATACATACCGAAATTACATTAAAGTGTCCGTGAACAAACACAATTTCTGCTTTATAGATTTCCCCCCCGGACGCAGACAATTTCAAGGTGATCTTTGTGCTGGACTTGCATTTTCTTAAGCCTAACTCAAACTGACATTCATGGCTTAGAAGATATTGATTTCTGTACATTTAAGGATGCGCCCTGCTGTTCCTCCCTCGTCTCTCGCTCCCTCACTCCTCCCATCACTTCTCAGCTCTTTCGTCGTTCCTCTGAAAGCTACACATGTTTGTAATTTGGCATGTGGAGGAGAGTGGCAGGGCCGGCGTGAGAGGCCGAGACGGAGGATAGTAGTGATGGATATAGAGAGGTGAATAAAACATTCTACAGGTGCAGGCCCTCATCTTCAAAGCACAGGTTCACTGATCCCTGTTAAATATACAGCACTGCCAACATTGTAACCTTCGTACTGCTACTTTTAGTGCGAACCCCTATAGCCTGGGGCAAAACCACACGGCCCAGATGTCTTGTAAGTTTGCATCGGCGTGAGCAGAGAAATTCACACTGCATAGTGCATAGTGTGTGTGTGTACGGAAAGAAAACACACGTTACATTACAGTGTTCATGGGTAACACACAATGAGAGTGACTATTACAAATAAACAAGACCATAATAGTATGTCATTTATAGTGCTTAACTCGTTCTCCACCAGTGTTTTCTTAAAAGTTGCACAGTCCTATACCTCGTCCTGGGTCGACATTTCATTCGATAACATTAGGCAGTTTTGAATATGCTTTTTAAATGTTGAGGATCGTGTTATTTTACATATGAGAATGATTACATATGATATCGCGTGTTTCTGTGTCTTCTTCGCATGTCTTTTGATCAGGAGATTCAATACTCTTTCAGAAGATGTGTCATAGCGCCCCCTAGTATAACGGTGAAAACGTGGAAAGCCGAAAATTTCCATCAAAAGCGTTGTCTCATAAAGATGGAAATGGCGGGGAAAGAGTACTGTTAATTAGCCTAAATATTAGGATTATAGATTAATCTGCCGATATTTGGCTAATTGAGATTTACGGCATGAGCCGCTGCTTCATTTGCCAATTAATGGAACGTCAGAAAATACATTTCTGATTTAATTTCTCTATTGTAACTTAGTAAGCCAATAAAAGTGTTTGTGCATCGTCAGCATTTTAGGTAGGCCTATAGGCTACATTTGCTATCATTATGCATTAGCTAGCCAACAAATGGTAGCAGGGGGAAAAAAAACATTAACATTTCAATCTACCAGTAGGCTACATAGCCTACTTACATCAACTATGACAATCAAACACGGCCTGCAATGTACACTTTCTCAGCAAAATGCCATTTCCCTAAATTGTGAGCCTTTCCACGGTGAAATGAAGCGAATTCAGAACATTTAAAGTGCAAATAAAGCCGTGAGAAAACCAGCACCCACTGTTGATCGCTTTAAATCGACTTACATCGATTACAATTGATTGAATTGGTTAAAAACGATTATGAGAGGTGTTGCGTCTCACTCCCAGCCCAGGTAAATGTCAAGCAGAAAACGCGCGTTCACAGACCCCCCACCTGCGCGCGCACCCGCTTCCAATGAGGTCCCTCAAACCCCTGCTAGATTAACACAAGCAACACCGACAAGAACCCTCATTAAGAGCGTCTGCCAACGGCCACTGGGACAGAATAAACCCCCTCCACCCCCCAGCAGCATCTGTTGAAGCGCAGAGCCCGGTATATGCGCCACATGGACGCATTAAAAACCTATTCGTCTTTCAAGAGCTCGTGGCACCACTAATAGCCCCTCATAACCCACATACCGATTTAGACCGGGCACACAAGTGCTCCCACGACGCCGGGTGTCCATTTAAACAAGCCCAGTAATGACAGAAGGGCGAAAGAAAGAAAGGGGTCTGCTCAGCCATAAATCGTCGTTTATGTGCCGGACACGCAGTTTGCATTGGTTTCTTTGGCTCCCCACTAAATGAATTCACAGTTGCTGGGTTGCAGAAACCTCCCCCTTATTTACCGATACATATACTACGAGAAATCTAGTCGTAAATTGCCCACTATTCCTTCCTGCGGCATGGAAAATCGTGTCACCTCCGTGACTGGAGTAATAAATTTTGCAGTGCGAAACGGGACTGATTGACCATCTAAAGTTAACACTTGCGTGTAAAACTTTTCGCTTCAGGTGTCTCTACGCTAACTAGTCCACTGGAAGGTGTCGACCAAGAGTGAAAAAACTGACACCTCCTTTTGTTTTAACCGTCTTGACAGCAGAGAAGTTGCTAAATAGTCCACCAGTTTACATTGTTCAATTTGGTTTAAAACTTAAGTTCGAGTTTACACGGAGAATGAGTTGACAACTATAGGCTAAATAAAAGTGGAGAGGCTTTTGATTCCATGTATATTTTTTTTATATATTTTACGCAGCTGGTGTAAATAGGGGTCACGAAAAGTGAAAGTTTACCACCTTGCCAGAACATATTTTGTCGAGCATGCTCTAATGACAAGAAGAGAAAGACTAAAAATAGTCTCGAGGATGTCAACACGTTCAGCAAGAACATTTCCACAAAGGTTACATTGTTTAGGCGAAAAAATGCTTGGTGTTGAGCAACTAAAACTCGTGCCAAATCCAACTGGAGCGTATCTGAAGGAGAGGCAGTGAAATAATAAACAGCGGCGGCTAACTGTCGTAAAATTCCTCAACGCACACCGTCAATGAAATGTGGCATTTATTAGTCTGGCGACATTGATGCTCGTAACTTCTGCAGACTCGTGATTATCCACTAAGGGTCTTGTCGGTAATAGCGCTTAACAGCTTTCTTTCCCCCCTGTGAGAGACATTTCAAAGCCGTCCTTCAGCGATTTGTGCGAAAACACGAGGCGTTTTGAGTGTCTCCAACGCAAAGCTCTTCTTAAATAAACGGGAATAAACGCCGTGCCCAATGCCTTTAGTTGCGGCTCTTACCTTTTGTTCAAGGAATTCCAGTAGATGGGCTCCATGTTGGTCGCTGTGATCCCGAGTAAATCCACTAAGAACATCAGCAGAATTCCCAATCCATTTTCACAGCCTCGACTCGCCATTTGAAATCCCGAATTCCTTCTATTTACTCCCATCAAATCTGTGTGGGATACTCTCCCAGAGGATGGAGATCTCTAGGACTCGGAACAAAGCGTTCAGGTGAATCCGTCAGTGTGATTCAGGAACAACGTGTTTGGGGAGCCTGCATGGATATCTGCGAAACACGGGAGATTAGATCAAACAAAGGTGCAGTCTAAGTGGATTTAAGCAGGGTCTTTGGGGAAAAGTCGCTCGTGGACGGAACTCCTGCGCAATTCAATTCCCACAGCCGTTTTGCTGCTGTTTTCCTTGCAAAGAGTTTACTTTTCCAAAAATTCCTGATGCCTTATTTTTTTTCCCAAGGCGTTTAGGCTGGACCAATCTTTCCTATTCCCTTTCACTCCCACTTCATTCTGTTTCCCCGACGAAGTAGGACGGGAGTGTGATGGTAGATGGATGATGGTTTGGAATGAGCTTTTCCTCTCCTCTTCAGAAGAACATGTTGATGCTGGACAGATCTCGCTGCTTCTCTTCCTCACCTCTAAGTTCTCCTACTGGATTTTCCTGCTTGCCTCTGAGATTCCAGTAATCCCGCATACACACAAATGAAATGTTGCAATCCAGATAATTAACGGGGGGAAAAATAGCAAAACTAATTAATGCAAATTAAAAGCAAGCATGAAAACTAATTTACAAATTATTGCCAGATTTTCCAGGGAGGAAAAATGTTGCAATCCTTATTCATGGGTTTCGGTTGCAGGGTATTTGAGAATGTGCTCGGATGTGGCAAGTCATTAGATAGTTCATTTCTCGTCTGTCCTGCTTGGATTCTCTCGATGTGTCTCTCTCACTGGCTGCAAATCCGACTAGTGAGACTTGTTCCTAACGCTCGGCGCACACTGACAGACTGAGTTGTTTGAGAAAGAGAAAGAGAGAGAGAGCGCGCGCGCGAGAGAGAGAGCCAGTATGGCAAGCCGTTTTGACTTTTATTCATCCCCAGGTTATGAATTCTTGATATCATCAACATTTCCACTAGTAAAAATGCTAATTCGTGATATCAACAATAACGTCATCACTCACGGAAATGCGAATTCTTCTTGATATCAAGAACTAGTAAAAAGATTGTATTTTTGTCACTATAGTTAATCAGGCTCTCATTCAAATGCAGTTGTTGATATCAAGAATTGATTTCTTACTAGTTGAAATTCCAGTTTCACAATACAATTCTTACTAGTAAACATCATAATTATGTTACTAGTAAAAAAAAATTCTGGTATCAAGAACTCAATTTTTACTAGCTGAAATGTTAATTCTTGATATCTGTAAATGTATTTCTACATGTTGTTATTTCTGATATCTGCAAATGTATTTCTGATATCAGTAATTAGGAGTAATTTCAGATATTTAAAATGGCTTTCTTATGAGTAACAATCACATTCATGATATCAGAAATTAACATGGTCACTAGTGACAATTGAATTATTGATATAATTTTTTTTTATTACTAGTAGCAATTCAATTGTTGATATCAAGAACAGACATTTGCACTAGTAACCATGTAATTATTGAAATACAAAAACTATGTTTTTTACTAGTAAGAATTGTATTTCTGAAATGTGATATTGGAAGTAGGCCTAGTAAGAAATCAATTCTTGATATCAACAATTGAATTTGAATGGCAGCCTATGGTGACATATAACTAGTCAAAATATAATTACAGATATCAAGAATTAGTTTTTACTAGTTTAAATGTAATTCTTGATATCATGAATTTGTATTTCTGCGAGTGATGACGTCATTGTCGATATCAAAAATTAAAAAATTTACTAGTTGAAATGGAAATCCTGATGTCAAAAATTGCCATTGCTACTATAGAAATCTAGTTCCTGATATCAAAAATGCATCCCCTGGGAATGAATAAAAGTCTAAACGGCTTGCCATATAGAGGCAGAGGGAGAGAGAGAGGGGGGCGCGCTCGAATAAGAAAAATCCCATCTTCCGGCTGGAGTGCGCGCTAACGGAGCGGATTTTTCTTTGGGGGATTTGTTTTTTCCGCATGTAGAGGTGCTATTAAATCACATCAGTCATGAACACATCCATATACCATGCATGCAAACATATTTCCCAATGCTCACGCAATTCTCTATAGTCTATACCCATAAATAAATAATAATAGTCGCTGAACACACATTTTGTGACTGCTTCTTTTCCGTTTGAAATGATGATCGTGAATCAGCCGATCACACCGATCACCGCTGTGCGTTCAGAAGCGACGGCTTACGGAGCCACAGCGCCCCCGGTGCACTCGCTGGTAACGGTGCATGTAATAACATTTCATGCTGGTGGTAACGACACTAATGACAAGCTTAGTAAGATATGCAGCTGATAAAGAGCTTGTTTAATCAATAGTATCTCTACCGTCCAATTGAAACTGGAATGATTTTCAGCATTCTGCGTAGGCTATGTGAAAAAGCGGCAATTAACTGTGTTTGTATGCCTGTCTATTACATCTGAAAACAACAATTAAGAAGTGTACTATGAACTAAGCGCTGCTGCTGATGGGACCCGAGGCGTGTGGACGGCGGACTAAAGCCTTGCCTACACTGACACCCAGTGGTCAAGGAATGATACTGCAGTCCACTCACACACACCAAATCAAAACACTCATTTGGACAGCTACATCAATTTTATGTAATACAACTAAAACAAAACGATCAATCCATCCATGTCATTTTTATTTTGTTTTAGTGCCATTACATTTTAATCAAAAGACTTTACATGGCATTAATATATGACAATTAAAGAAGAGTTGATAAATAACAGGCATTTTAACGTCTAGTAAAAAGGATACATTTGTTTTAGTTTTCCTGGTGTTTAGCAACAATACGTTTTATATTGTAGTTTTTTCCTGTAAGATTTGTGCATTTTTCTAATCATAGAAAGTTGCTTTCACAAAAAAAGATAAAAGGTAATTAAGCATTTTTTTATACAACAATTTCGAGTGAAATTTTGATGTCATTTGGATTCAGTGAGTAACATTAGTCACATTATGTTAATGTTATTAAAATAGGACTAACAATAACAATGTAAGCTGCTCCAGGAAATTATTACATATTTAATATGTTGTTCATCAGTAGTGTCAATCACACTATAATTTAAAAAAGACTAATTAGGGTATTAAATATGCATAATTATATATCAATATTTGATCTGATAAACCTGTTAGTTCAACAGAGTATGTGCTGTACTCACTTTTTCAAAATATTATGATATATGAAAATGTTTGTATTTCATTTTTAAAAGTACACCTTTTTATATACTGGAAATTACAGGAATTACATGGGTTGTTTTATTTAATATGCAACAGTTAACATGTTTCATAACTAATTAAAGGGAAAGTAAAGTTTCCCATCTTGGGACCAAGGAGGATAAATGATAAAGGCAAGTGAATAAAGGTTTTCATAATTTCTTTAAAGTGATAGATCACACGAAATTGAAAATGCTGTCATCATTTACTCACCATCATGTTGTTCCAAACCTGTATCATTTCTTCTGTTGAACACAAAAGGTATTTTGAAGAATGTTGGTAATCGGTAGCCATCGACTTCCATAGTATTTTCTTCCCTACTATGAAAGTCAACGGCTATCGTCTGTCTGATTACCAACATTCTTCAAAATATCCTCTTGTGTGTTCAACAGAAGAAACTCACACAGCTTTGGAACTAGCTTTTGTAGTTCACTTAATCCTGTGGTGCATCAAATACATATTCAAATAAGTACAAATGATGCTATAGTTTCTAGAAAACGATAGACAAAATGCTTAAAGGGTTAGTTCACCCAAAAATGAAAATTATGTCATTAATGACTCGCCCTCATGTCGTCCGTTCATCTTCGGGACACAGTTTAAGATATTTTAGATTTAGTCCGAGAGATTTCTGTCTCTCCATTGAAAATGTATGTACGGTATACTGTCCTTGTCCAGAAAGGAAATAAAGACATCATCAAAGTAGTCCATGTGACATCAGTGGGTTAGTTCGAATGTTTTGAAGCATCGAAAATACATTTTGGTCCAAAAATAACAAAAACTACGACTTTATTCAGCATTGTATTGTCTTCCGGTTCTGTTGTGGATCCGCGTTCAGTGACGCCGCTGACGTAAGACGCTGCTGACGTGTGTCTGGTGCGTCCGTGTATTCGGGTTCAAGTAAATATGGCTGGGCAAAAAAATGCAAGTCTTCCTGTGTCGAAATCCTTAGTTTTGTTTACATTGCATCTCCCTCAGACTGTAAACGAAGCTCGGGCGCACCAGACACACGTCAGCAGCGTCTTACGTCAGCGGCGTCACTGAACGCGGATCCACAACAGAACCGGAAGACAATACAATGCTGAATAAAGTCGTAGTTTTTGTTATTTTTGGACCAAAATGTATTTCCGATGCTTCAAAACATTCTAACTAACCCACTGATGTCACATGGACTACTTTGATGATGTCTTTATTTCCTTTCTGGACAAGGACAGTATACCGTACATACATTTTCAATGGAGGGACAGAAAGCTCTCGGACTAAATCTAAAATATCTTAAACTGTGTTTTACGGGCTTGGGACGACATGAGGGTGAGTCATTAATGACATAATTTTTGGTTGAACTAACCCTTTAAAACGGTTCTAGACAAAGTCGAGCGCGTCTCACTGCAGGACACTGTTAAATCCCCAGACAGACACTGTGAGAAGATCACAGTGGAGGGGGGATCTCATCGGTCTGTGTCGCAGTGTCCACGAGTCCTGGCTCTCTCCCCAGTCTGCGGGGTTTTAGCAGGTAATCCGAGTGGAGGGAGGAGTCGGTCAGGTCCACGAACCGCATGTAGCTCGCCTGCACCTTCTGAAAGAGGAACACAAGCACATCAACATGCTGATTCAATGCCAGTTCGACAGATGCAGGTAGTTAAACAGGTGGATTCTTCATAATGCCCAAAGATGGAAACGTCCTCAAGCCAAAGGTCAAATGTCAGCACTGTTGTTTATTATGTCAAGGCCTGATTCCAGAATTACATCACTGAGGGTGATCTAGTGAAGTGCAGATGCAATGTGTAATAAACCACTCCACATTACTGTCTGAGTACTAGGTATTACATTTGAATCTGAATTCACTTTGCGACCGTTAAAAAAAGTATGTTGCACTCTCAGACTACATAATGTAACATGTACTTAGCATAGCAATAACAGTAAATTATGCATAATAACATGCAACTAACCCTAAACCCAATCCTAATCCTACCCTAACCCTATAGTAAGTGAAGTCACTTGCAGAGGAAGACACTATTGACAGGAGAGGATTTATGAATGGCAGTGAAGTGACGCAACTGACGGTGTAGGTCACATGATAATGGCAGCATGGCGAATGTAATACATCCGGATTACATTCATCCTACACATAGAACATACTTTTTTTAGCCGTTTTGAAGTAATTACTTATTCAAAATAAGTACCTACTCAAGAGAGTATGCGATTTCGGACGCATCCAGTGTATTCAGACATACTATTCTGTTAGCATACTGTTTTTCGCATACTATACAGGTCCTTCTCAAAAAATTAGCATATTGTGATAAAGTTCATTATTTTCCATAATGTAATGATAAAAATTAAACTTTCATATATTTTAGATTCATTGCACACCAACTGAAATATTTCAGGTCTTTTATTGTTTTAATACTGATGATTTTGGCATACAGCTCATGAAAACCCCAAATTCCTGTCTCAAAAAATTAGCATATCATGAAAAGGGTCTCTAAATGAGCTATTAACCTAATCATCTGAATCAACTAATTAACTCTAAACACCTGCAAAAGATTCCTGAGGCTTTTAAAAACTCCCAGCCTGTTTCATTACTCAAAACCGCAATCATGGGTAAGACTGCCGACCTGACTGCTGTCCAGAAGGCCATCATTGACACCCTCAAGCAAAAGGGTAAGACAGAAAGAAATTTCTGAACAAATAGGCTGTTCCCAGAGTGCTGTATCAAGGCACCTCAGTGGGAAGTCTGTGGGAAGGAAAAAGTGTGGGAAAAAACCAAGCGGCAACATTGTAATCTGAAAAATGAAGCCTACCCGGAAGTGCGAAAAACTGCAATACATCGAAAATCCGCTAGAGGGAGGTCCCAAAAGGGAGCAAATCTCCATAGACCCGCATGTTAAAATGTCAGTTTTCACAGAATAAATTCATGTTTTTACAGGTTGGTCCCATGGACTTTTATTGTATTTTTCGATAGGTTCCGAGTGCCTGACAACTGTGAGGGGGGTGATTTTTTTTCTAACTCGGTAGTTTAGATCGTATTTAGATATAAAATGTATGACAAATAAGCGTGTGATTGACAGCTGATAACAGGCTGCGCCGAGTGGAATTCCTGAAATTTGACGTCTCGGCCATGATCTGACACAACACATCATACCACCTCTGTATCCTTTCTGAACATTTGTATTTGAAATATCGTAAGATTTTCCAAGATGGCACCGCCCATACCCCCCATAAACAGCCTCAAAACCGTTCTTCAGAAAGTCTATGGGTCACAGACGCTTTGTCCATATTTTTTACAGTCTATGGAAAAAACGCTTCACAACGAGAAGAGGTGACCGGACCCTGAGGAAGATTGTGGAGAAGGACCGATTCCAGACCTTGGTGGACCTGCAGAAGCAGTGGACTGAGTCTGGAGTAGAAACATCCAGAGCCACCGTGCACAGGCGTGTGCAGGAAATGGGCTACAGCTGCCGCATTCCCCAGGTCAAGCCACTTTTGAACCAGAAACAGCGGCAGAAGCGCCTGACCTGGGCTACAGAGAAGCAGCACTGGACTGTTGCTCAGTTTTGCATGTCATTCGGAAATCAAGGTGCCAGAGTCTGGAGGAAGACTGGGGAGAAGGAAATGCCAAAATGCCTGAAGTCCAGTGTCAAGTACCCACAGTATGTGATGGTCTGGGGTGCCATGTCAGCTGCTGGTGTTGGTGCACTGTGTTTTATCAAGGGCAGGGTCAATGCAGCTAGCTATCAGGAGATTTTAGAGCACTTCATGCTTCCATCTGCTGAAAAGCTTTATGGAGATGAAGATTTCATTTTTCAGCACGACCTGGCACCTGCTCACTGTGCCAAAACCACTGGTAAATGGTTTACTGACCATGGTATTACTGTGCTCAATTGGCCTGACAACTCTCCTGACCTGAACCCCATAGAGAATCTGTGGGATATTGTGAAGAGAAAGTTGAGAGACGCAAGACCCAACACTCTGGATGAGCTTAAGGCCGCTATCGAAGCATCCTGGGCCTCCATAACACCTCAGCAGTGCCACAGGCTGATTGCCTCCATGCCACGCCGCATTGAAGCAGTCATTTCTGCAAAAGGATTCCCGACCAAGTATTGAGTGCATAACTGAACATAATTATTTGAAGGTTGACTTTTTTTGTTGTTGTATTAAAATCACTTCTTTTATTGGTCGGATGAAATATGCTAATTTTTTGAGATAGGAATTTTGGGTTTTCATGAGCTGTATGCCAAAATCATCAGTATTAAAACAATAAAAGACCTGAAATATTTCAGTTGGTGTGCAATGAATCTAAAATATATGAAAGTTTAATTTTTATCATTACATTATGGAAAATAATGAACTTTATCACAATATGCTAATTTTTTGAGAAGGACCTGTATAGTAGGGAAGTATTCGATTTCGGACGCAGCGATAGCCACAAAGAATCGGTCACTCATCTCAGTTAATCGCGATCTCACAAAGTTCTGTTATAATCAATGAAGCTGACTGCATAGTTGATCTCTTACTTGCATCGTGTCTGCACGTTGTTAATGCGAGGATTCGCAAGTGTGCAGAACTCGCCACTGAACAAAAATACTCTGGCATTTTGACCGATGAGGGGATTTTGATTAAGCACCTCTGATTGGCCACTGCGTTCAAGAGATCAACAAACATGTCTGTGATTGGCTATATTTCTGACCGCTGCAAAAACACATTGCAAATAGAAACATTTGACGTTCTTCACAGCACAAACACAGATTTGTTGTTTTGTCAATATATTATTACAGTAAGGTGCTCCTGCTTTCATCCTCAAGCACTCCCGTAGAACCGCGCCTGAAAGGAACACCAATGTGTGGAAGCTTGTTTGCACCACGGAATTTAAAAAAAAAATCTTTTTGAGTTTATATTGCTATATTGAGTTACAATTGCTAGTTATAAACTCGTCTCACTTGCTAGTTTAAATCTCAGAATTCTGACTTTTTAAAGTTATAAATTCACAATTGAGAGTTCACATCTCATAATGCTGACCTTTCCCCCATCAAAATACTTATATTACATCTAGAAATTTGACTTTTTTTTTCCTGGGAATTCTGAGTTTACATCTCACAGTTCTGGGATTGTTTTTCTGTCATGGAATTTAAAAAAAGAGAAGTTAAAAAGCTAATTGTGCCTTTTTATCTCCCAATTCTGATTCGTTTTCTCGCAATTCTGAGTTTATATCTAAAAATTGTTGGGAAAAAGTCAGAGTTGTGAGATGAAACATTGCAATTGCATTTTTTAAATATATATTCAATGGTGGAAACATGCTTCCATACTAATGCACAGACTCATGGGGGGAAACAAACTAAGCTTAACTCTTTCCCCGCCAGTGTTTTTTTTTCTTAAAGTCAACACCCAGCGTTTTTGAGCATTTTCGCAAAACTTTCATGGCCCCCAGAATATTTTGTTGTATGAATATCTGAACATGCAATACAATATATCAAAACAGAGAACAAAGCCTCTGCTAAAAAAAAAAAAAAAAAAAGTATTCTAGCTTAATGCATTCTTTTTTTATCAACACTTGAATGCGAGTAAGTTTCATAAAAAAGCAACATTATGAACAAAAATCTGAGAAGCTGTCAAAAACTAATCGGATTCAGAATGAATATCAAAACATAGCTGGAGTAGATCGCTTCCAACAACCCCCCAAAGCTTCCCATCCTGCACCTATTCGTGGGTTTGACATTAGGAATTTGATTTATATGCTGTTTAATGTTCATGATCACGTTATATTCTATGTGCATAAGCACTTGTTTCTGCTTCTTCTTCGCCTGTGTTTTGATCGGGAGATTCTTCCAGAAGATGCATAACAGCGCCCCCTACCGCCTAACAGAGAAAACACGGGCAATGGCAGAGAAAGAGTCAACGAGAACCTAGTCTCAGCCTCAGACGTCTGATGCATATGATACACTTAACTGGAAACACTTCAGGAATGTCGAAGTCGTCATCTGATTGGTTGAATTTTATCGGCTTTCCGGGGGGGCGCGAGTGTCGCGTTTATTTTCGGTCCGCCGGGAAACAAAGCGCAGACGTGTGATTGCGGAAGAAAAACTGTTGTGTTTACATGAGTGACAATGAGCATTTATCAAGATCAGCTAAACGTAGGATTCTCAAAAGTATGCGAGGTTCACGGCATAGACTCTTGAAGTTTTCTTCTCCTTCTTTGATTTTCTATGCTGACTGACTTGTTGCACGCCGGTCTGTTGTTGTGGGGACATTTGCACGCCCCGAAACGTGACGCTGAACGAAACGAACTGTAATTGGTTGTTTGACATGTCGGTCAAACAGCCTTATGGGCGGGCCTTGGCCAAAGAAAGCTGCTATGAATTCCAGACCTTCAGCCGTCAGTCTGAAGGTCTGGCTACACGAGACTAACGAGAACCAAACGTCAGAGGAGGTTCTGGCTCGGGAGGAGAGAGAGAGTTCTGTTATTCTGTCATTTTGTTGCAGATGCTGCTGGATTCGAGCAGGTCCCGTTTTAGAGCTGTTCATTTATTCATGATGACCTCATTACAGGGGCTGACCTTAAACTCAGCTTCATACTGAATGCTCTCCCTGCAGGCCTGCTCCAGACTGTCTCGCAGCTGCTGGAGCCTGGAACACACACACACACACACACACACACACACACACACACACACACACACACACGTCACACACGCTCATGCACCACTTCAAAACATTATTACAAGAAAGAGGGAAAAAAAGAAATAAAAAAAGAGTGCTGGAGAGGCAGTGTTGATGATGACACAACAAAATCTATAAATTGTAGGGTTCCTGTAGAAAAGGGAGAAGGCAGAAAGATACAAAGAGAGAAACTGATGAAATTTGACAAAAGGTGGGAAGGAGAAAGAGAATAGCTGAGATGCATCACAACAGGAATCTGGGCTGAGCGGGGGGGAGTTTCACGTGTGTTTTTGCCTGTTTTGTAGCTCAGATATCTCTTGTTCATGTCTGTCCTGGTAGACCCGTTTCTCTCTTTCTGCTTTCATGTCACACTCCTCACGAACACTTCTCTCGGCGTCCTGAACACACCTCCTCACACACTCCTGACAGACAGAGGAAGGCAATGAGCAGAATGACTCACAATGAAATGCGTTATTATGACTATAAACTGTGCAGATTTTGTTTCTTTAACTAATAACTCATATAGTATATCAATCAGTAGTTAGTCAGTTAATCAGTAATTGCATCATAATCAGTTAACATTTTATTAAATAAATCTAGCACTTTTCTTATTGATTTGACTTCAAGAGAACCTGATGGATATTTTCACTCATGTACAGCTATTTGTTGTCTTGTCTATAAGGGTGGTTTAGTTTCATTGTGTTTAAGTTTGGTTTTCCCTGAGCTCTAGTTTCTTGTTTGTTTCCATGGTTTCTAATTAAGTTACACACCTGTTCCCTGTTCTGTTGATTATTTTTCCTTGTTGCCCCGTACACTTTGTATGATTTTGGGCTGTCAAATGAAAGATGACCTATCGTGGCTATTGATTTCTGTCGTGGCTCCCAAGCGGTGATCCTACGTCGAACAGTGAGAGAGGTTCAAAGTCCTTTTGATTGTCACGGTCTTGCGACCAAAGATAGCCTGCGATAATTTTCTGACAGTGTCAGTAATATAGCATGATCGTCTCACCGTGTGTTTGCTTCTACGACCTACGTCTACTGACTAGACAATACAAATGCAACATGAAATGGCGTATTGATCAACGTGGCATGCGCTAAAACTCAAAACTATTTACCTCAAGCTCCATTTACAAGATTGGCAAGCCAAATTGGCCTTTTTTCCCTAGACATGACCGCTTCCATATTCCCCTCTTTTTTCAGCGCACGTAAAAACCACCAAAAGTGCGATTCATCTTGTTCACCACTAGCACATGCTGTTGACGTTTTATTCTTCTATATTAACTTGCGATTCAATAGGTGTCATCCTCATGTCGTAACCAAGTTTATTAGATCCATGTCGTACAGTGTGATCTGAAATGATCTTATAGGATTGCCCAAATCACACAGTCTGTAGCAGGCATTAGCCCCTTTTTTCTCAGTTCCTTGTTCTGTGTTAACGTTATGTTGAAAGTGTCTATCTTAGTCGTTTCTCCTGTGTCATGCTTCTGATTGGATTATACACTACCAACCCTGACAGAGCCATTTATAATAATGAAAATTTGATTTCATTGGGAATTGTGTAAAATTCTTTATCGCGTATGGTTTATGACTTGTACAGTTTTTTTGGTGAAGTATGGCGTTTTGCAGTTATCTTTACCTGGCAAACCAACTATTTTGCCTACTTCTCTGAGGGGTCATACAATTTCAGAAATTCTATGAAATCTCCTCCTTTTTCAGCCCTTTAATATTAGCTCAGTAAAATGTTCTGTGATTTTTGATGCAACTGGCACCATGCATCTCAATTTAATATAATATTGTTACAGGCGAAACCAATTGTTTTTAAGGACTGTAATTAAAAAATTATTAGACAAAAAAAAAAAAAACGATTTGCTTAGTGGAAGCTTAGAGGTGATAAAATTCAAAACTTATTTAAACTCAAATCAGTATTTCATGTCCACATATTTATTTGTATAGTAGCTGCGTTACTGCACAAGCATGACAATATAGTCAGCCGGACATTATTGCAAAATAAATCAACTAATTGTACATTATCCAATAATATTCTTATTCTTATTTCTTATTTTACTTATAATTTGAAAACCCCCCATTATAAAAACCCATAGGAAAATCTCGAGGGACAAATTAGTCTTCCGTGTTTTGTCGTCACAACGGCAGCACTTTATTGCCCTAAACCGTAACAGACATGTTTACATACCAAACAAGTAATTATTTAGTGCTCTTATGAAGCTGACCTCACCTCAATGTACTGTATCTGGTTTATTATTGTGAGAACCAAACATCCAATAATAAAGATGAAGATAAACAAGACACACACACACACCTGAGTCTCTTCTCGTACGGTTTGTATTATTGCCTCTCTGGTCTCCTCTGCCTCTTTGTTCAGCTGTTCTCGCAGCTTCCTACAGGCTTCCCCTACGGCCTGGACCTTCTCTTCCTCCATCTGAGCCTTCAGGCCTTCACAACGAGCTCTGAACTGGGCCTGAAGCTCGACCTGAAGCTCTCGCCTCATTTCAGCCTCCAGCTTGTCCCTCGCTCGCAGGGCCTCCCGAAACCGGGCCTGCAGTCTCTGGGGAACACGTGAAAGAGATGAAATAAAGACCGAGAGGAAGAGGGATGAAAACCGATGAGGAGGACAGAGAAGGATGAAGGACAGATGATGAAGGTGTTGGGGTGAATGCGAAAAGTAGGAGATGGAGAGGTAGAGAGAACACAGAGACAGAGGGCGTTAGGGAGGGAGAGGAAGAAATGGATGGATGATCAGTGTTGGCAGGGCAACTGTACTGGGCTTATGAAGAGGGGAGTCATCTTTGGGTTTGGCTGCCGCTTGCTTTCCCTGGAGAGCAATTACACAAGCAATTACACCCTATTACAAAAGCTCTTCTCATTTCTCCGACACAATGGCGAAGATTTGACTGCCATTGGAGTCGAAACCGGATCATTCGTTAAATCTGACACTCGGATGCAGCGAGGATTATGCTGCTGCTACTGGACAGGGAAAAAGAAGTTGAAATATAGCTGCGAGCAGCGATTACGGGCCCAAGCCGGTGGCACCGCAACCCCGGTTCCTTTAGTTACCTAAAGGCACCGGGGTGGCGGTGCCGCCGGCTTTGGCCCTTCATCGCTGCTCGCAGCTATATTTATATATATATATATATATATATATATATATATATATATATATATATAAATTATATATATATATAAAAAAAAAAATATATATATATATATATATATATATATCACTTGCCTTACCGGATTAGAACAATGAAAACAATAAAAAAATAACTAGGGAATCACTAAACCGAGAGAATTAATCTGTTTTGATGATACACTCAAAATATTACACAAGCAATTCTTTAAATTTAATGATATTCAGAACAGAACAAGAATAAAAAAAAACTATAATTAAGAAATAACCGAAATAATTGAAAGCGAAAGTGAAAGTAGGTGGTGTTTGGCTCACGTAACTCTCTCATTAGAATCAAACTGTTTCAACATTTGCGATGTATTTGGATGCTAAACTATTCTTCATTATGGGCTTTGTACTTCACTCAGGTTTCAATATGTGTGTGTGTGTGTGTGTGTGTGTGTGTGTGTGTGTGTGTGTGTGTGTCTGTGTGTCTGTGTGTGTGTGTGGGTGAGGTGCGGGTGCGGGTGCGGGTGCGATTGAACTGTTACACATAAAAACATACTCCGTCATTTTGTTCATAGAGGACATCATTCAAACTGCAAAGTGTTTACTTATATTTGTGTACACTCGCAATAAAACACAACAAAGTGCTTTTGTCAAACTATAAACTCTTGTCAAACTGTAACCTACAACTGTCACCCAACTAAAATCACACGCACACACTGTCTAAAAGCAAAAAATATTTATCCAACCCCATTTAAAACAGTCTGTGGGAGCCATCTTTTGGACATTCACCATATCGCATTGATTTTCATTTATTGTCCTCAGAGCCCTAATCTGTTTATTTTTCAATTACACATTCTACATTGATTAAAAAAGAAAATTCTAATGTGTTTTTATTTTATACAGGAATAAGTTATTTATAATTCAGATGAGAATAAAGTTAGTGTTAGTTCAAATTTTAAGGAAAACAAATATATTGATCTGAAATATAGCACATTCATCTCAGGTTAAATTACCAAACATACAATCTTAATTTAATTTAAAGCAAACGATACATTTAAAATATATGGGTTGTATGCATATTTTGGAATTTAAAAAAAAGATATATATCCAAAAAGACAAGGCCTTAAACTTGAACAAGGGTTAAACTCTTGTCGCTGTAAGAGACACAATGATTCAGCATTTTGAACGAATCGATTGACTCAAAGATTCAATGACCAATCCATAAACATGTATTGTCTCATTCATGAATGACTCAGTCGTTCGAACGAATCATTTGAACGAATGAATCAATGACTCACTCATTAAGACGGTCGCCTGGCGACACCTAATGACGGTTTAGTGTTATGTTTAAAAGTATCATTCTTTCCAACTCATATTTAAAACAATCTCACATTATTTAATGCATTGTTATTTTTCAGTGTAAACGATTTAATTTGATCACCCCTACCTAGAGTAACAGCCATATAGTGTCTTATTATTCTAAATAATTGAATTTATTGATCAAATTTACAAATTAAAAATGAAAGATGAAGCATACATTTAATAAGACTAGACTAGGGGTGCCCAGCAGATATTACAATTGGCAGATTTAAATATACCATGGCCCCCCACCGTCAATTTGGTGTGTGTATAATAAAATCATTTAGTCACTACAATTAAAACTTGAACGTATTTGCTTACTAAATTGTGAGCAGAACGAAAGTTGCAGCAAAGATCAGCAACAGGAGTCAAAATTCATTAATCACGAGAGTGAAGAGCTGACTGGAAAAATTATGACGGAATATTTTGTGTAAAAGCGCCTATATAAGCGAATCTGTCATTTACTCTTTTGTTGTTGTCTTTTCCCTGAAAACCGGAAGCAATCGGTCCCCGATATGGCGCTAATTTTAGTGACACTAAAAAGTATGCGGCTGCACTGGAATTCATAACGGTGCGCGTCCATGGCGACGAGCGAGCAAAACAGAGCGAATGTTTTTTCATTTCTACTTCCATAGAAATTCATTCGAGCGCACTGTGAGCGCCACCACTATAAATGTCCGTGCGGACGTCCTTACTTTACTTTCACTTTTAACTTAGCGATTTAACACGTTTTACACGTCAAATAACCGGTGAGAAAATATTCTCGGAGTCACATAGGCTACCTAATATATTTAAATACAATAGGCCTACCTGATTTTGAACACAAGAGGGCAGTATAGCCCTATGTATTATTTGATATATTTATTTTTTTAACTGAATAGTGCATCCTGGCTGTTTTTAAACTTGTACATTACTCTTAAATTGAAAACAAGAATAAAATGGGTTTAGTTGTGATATTTGTATAATTTTATCTAGAAATAAATGGTGTATAATTAAATTTTTAGAAGATATGAGGCTTTTAGTGTTTATTTTTTTTTTACATGATTTTAATCCCTCGCCATAGCAAAACAATTAGAGATATTCAATAGATATTCACAATTATGCTTCTTTAATGTATTTTCATCATGTTGAAAAAGTTTGGTGGGAATAAAATAAACCACTTAAGAGGAGTGGGTAAAAATGTAGAGCCTGGTTTTGCAAAACATCCACATTAAGACAAAAATAGCCCACTTCCTGTTGGGCTGGCTTAAAGTTGTTTGGCCCGATGAGATCTATATACCGAGTTTCATAATATTACATGCAAGTGTGTTTGATTTATGGACCAAATTTTCTGACGAAGTTTATGGACCAAGTTAATTTAATTAATAAACTAATTATATAAAACTATTTTCAATGCACTACAATTCAACTGGTTATATGCCTTTACTTATTAATACAACTTATTTAAAAAATACAAGGCGTAAGACATTTATTTTCTTTTTTAATGCAGGCCAAACAACACAGCAGTCAAATGGTTAATCTAGCCCCCCTCCCCCTCCCCACACTCACAGACACACACACACACAGAGACGTAGGCTCAGAGAGAGAGAGAGACATAAAATGACAATTTTCAAACCAAAATATCTGACTTCCTGTTGGTTGGAGCTATTGAGTGTAAATTAGAAACTTGTCTGGCTGGAGGAGAACAATACACATACCGATTTTTATTACTGTAGATAAAATTAATCCCCCCACTTTTGACAAAAGGTGGCGCTACTGAGCCCTCAACAGGCCCGTTTCTGAAACTTTGCACATGTCTACTGGCTAATAAATGAGATGTGTCTGTCGAGTTTCATGCAATTTTAAGCAATTTCAGGCATGCTAAGAGTCTCAAAAGCATAAAAAAAGAATATTAAAGTTTGATGCGTTGCCACGACAACAGTATCTAAGATATCAAGAATCCATTCACAGGTCTACATCTGCCGTGTGTTTACATTATAGTAGTGAAGTTTGAAGCAAATCGGGTAAAAATAAGAGGGTGATTTCAAAGCATTTAGGAAGTGACACACTTCCTTCTGCCAGTTGGTGGCGCTATAACTTTGACTCACAATAGTCACATCCATGTGATCGGGCTCTTACAATGAACACACTGGTGAAGTTTCATCAAGATCAGTTAATGTATGCAGTAGTTATGACACACTTCCTGTTTCACGTTTCTCGCCATAATTTTGTTTCCTCGCCACGGCCAAACCGTTCGAGATATCAAAAATCCCCTCGCAAACTTTCATCCTCAATGTCTTGACTTCATGCTGACCGAGTTTCGTGCCGTTTGTTTGAATTCTCTAGGAGGAGTATTTCACATTCCATTGCGTGTGTTTTACCAACAACCCTAAATAGCCGACTTCCTGTTGGGCTGGGGTAAAAAGTAAGAGTGTGAAGTATATATGAAACGAGGAGATCTACATGTGTACCGAGTTTCATATTATTACATGCAAGCGTGTTTGATTTATGGACCATGTTTTCGGACCCCGTTCCAGGGGGCGCTGTCGAGCCCCCCTGCCACGCCCGGGTACCATCTTCAGCCCGGCCCTGATGGCCGCGGGTTCTGACCAGTGTGCAAAGTTTCAGGAGTTTTTGAGCATGTTAAGGCCTCCAAAAGTGTCCAAAAGGTAGCAGAAAAATAATAAGAATAATAATAATAATAAAATATATATATATAAATATATATATATATATATATATATATATAAATATAGCTGCGAGCAGCGATTACGGGCCCAAGCCGGTGGCACCGCAACCCCGGTGCCTTTAGTTACCTAAAGGCACCAGGGTGGCGGTGCCGCCGGCATGGGCCCTTCATCGCTGCTCGCAGCTATATTTATATATATATATATATATATATATATATTTATATATATATATAAAGCCGGTGGCACCGCCACCCTGGTGCCTTTAGGGTTATTGTGCACGACATGACACAAAATATCTGCTTGCTATCTGCCGAACGGCTCTGGTAGTTTCGCTTCAGCACTGATGATGTTGTAGTGTGTGTTTGTGTGTGTGTGTGTGTGTGTGTGTGTGTGTGTGTGTGT